CCCTCTCCCCCTATATATAGTGGAGGCAAAGGGGCAGCCAACACACGAAGTTCTTCCCCTGCTGGCGCAGCCCCTCCCCTCCAATACCTCTTCTCCTCCACGTGAGCTTGGCGAAGCCCTGCCGGAGAACTGCCACTCCATCACCACCACGCCGTCGTGCTGCTGTTGGACTCTCTTCCTCAACCTCTCCTTCCTCCTTGCTGGATCAAGGCGTGGGAGACGTCTTCGTTCCGTACGTGTGTTGAACGCGGAGGTGCCGTCCGTTCAGCGCTAGGATCATTGGTGATTTGGATCACGACGAGTACGACTCCATCAACCCCGTTCACTTGAACGCTTCCGCTTAGCGATCTACAAGGGTATGTAGATGCACTCTCCTTCCCCTCATTGCTAGATTACTCCATAGATTGATCTTGGTGATGCGTAGAAAATTTTAAATTTCTGCTACGATCCCCAACACCAACCAACGCGCTCCAAACGAGACCATGTAAGGGGGAATCGGACGAACCTGGTGGTCGGGGACCTCGCGAATGTTTCTCACATCCTGACCAAACCAAACAGTACCAAAACTAAACAGAAACGGCGTCAGCGGGAGCAGGAGGAGGAGGAGCAAGCGATGTGTGCGATGGAGAAGGGCGTTGCAGTACCTGGAACCGGGCGGGGAAGGCGGTGGAGATGGCGCCGCCGAAGAGGGGGCGCCTGGTGCTACTCTCGCCGGCCATCTTGACAAGGGAGTCCCGTGACTAGACAGCAAAACAAGGTTCTGGAGCGTGGGAGAAGACGGGGGTGGGGGAGAGAGCCGGAGAGGGTCGGGCGGGTTCGTGATTCGAGCGAGTTTAGGCTAGTTGTAATGTATCATACTCCAGTATCATGCATGCATGCCAACTACTCCCTCCATTCCTATCCGTTCCTAAATATAAGTCTTTGTAGAGATTCCACTAGATGGACTACATACGGAGCAAAATGAATGAATCTACACTTAAAATGCATCTATATGCATCCGAATGTGGTTCATAGTGGAAGCTCTACAAAGACATACATTTAGGAACGGAGGGAATAGACAATTTTGATGAGGTGTCGTTGAATTAAATAGAGAAAGAGAGGATTGAGTATCATATCATGATAGCGTATCATAATAAATGCTATGCTACTAGGAGTATGTGTCATACATGGCAATAAATAAAGTACTACATGATACTTCCTCTGTTCACAAATATAAAACGTTCTAGACTGACCATACAAGTCTCTAAAACGTCTTATATTTATGAATAGAGGGAGTAATAGTATATGATACTCCCTCCATTCCTAAATATTTGTCTTTGTAGACATTTCAACAAGTGACTACATACAGAGCAAAATGAGTAAATCTATACTCTAAAATATGTCTATATACATCCGTATGTGATAGTTCATTTGACATCTCTAAAAAGACAAATATTTAGGAACAAAGGGAGGTAGTATTATACACCAGTACCATATGCATTATACAAGTATATGGATTGAGTATATGATACTCCCATTGCAACCAGCCTTATAAGCGGCCATGGGTGGTTTTGCCAATGTGGCGCCTGACGAGTGGGACCAAGACCGGTTCGACCCAGCTAGCTCCTTCATCTGCTTCGAGCCTTCGACCCACCCAGCCTCTGTCTTCGCGCCCCCCTCAGTTCTCTCCCTGACGACGACGGCCGCGGGACGGACGGCGATCAGCGGCATTAACTGAGCGTTGGGAGCCGGCGACACGTGCAGGTTCGTAACCACATCCGATTCTGTGTGAGAAGTGAACCACTATGTGCTTGATTACTCTGTTCTAAGTAGGGTTTTGGGGGATTTCAAAATCAACAGAGATGGTCGTTTTCTTCTTGTTTTCATTCATTCAGTGGTGCATCTGGTTAGTGCGGCCGTGCGGGAAGCCATGGTTTTGTTTTGGTTTAGGGTCAGCTGACTCTTATGGCTGGTTTGGTTTTAATAACTGAACTAAAAGGGGGTATTAGCCATGGATCCGCTGGACTATCTGTGCATCAGGTTTCAGTTCAGAGGACAATTTGAACATGATGGAACAGATCAACAGAGTGGCAGCATGTGAATGGAATACAAGGCGTGTAGGCGTGTACATTTAAGTTACGGGTGCGCAGGACGGGGGGACCTGTATTTTTATCCCATAGCAGAGAAAATAGAATCTCCGTCTGAAGCTTGCTCGCGCGACATTTTAACTTAAATTTTTAGTCCTATACCGGATAGCGAGTAACAGTTGAACGTACTTAAAAGGAGGAAAGATGGGTACCATTTCAGAAAGTAGATTAACAGGTGAATGCTCTCTCGCTATTACATTGTATTCAAGGGTTAGGTAGGGTGCGTGTAGGCGTGTACAGTTAAGTTATGCGTGCACAGGACGGGGGGACCTATATTTTTATCTCATAGTAGAGAAAATAGGATCTCCGTCTGAAGCTTTAGTGGCAATTTAAGGAAACGCCCGAGAACAACGTTTCTGGCGAATCTGGAAATGCCAGATCTTGCAGGCGAATGCCTCGATTGGCCTTTCCATTCGCGACCAATTCTAGCATTTTTGGGAAACGCTAATAAAAACATTCAGAGGCATTTTTGCGTCCTACAGAGGCGTTTTAGAATGCCTCGTAATGTCGTCCGTGCTGTAGTGCTTATGGCTGGTTTGGTTTTAATAACTGAACTAAAAGGGGGTATTAGCCATGGATCCGCTGGACTATCTGTGCATCAGGTTTCAGTTCAGAGGACAATTTGAACATGATGGAACAGATCAACAGAGTGGCAGCATGTGAATGGAATACAAGGCGTGTAGGCGTGTACAATTAAGTTACGGGTGCGCAGGACGAGGGGACCTGTATTTTTATCCCATAGCAGAGAAAATAGGATCTCCGTCTGAAGCTTGCTCGTGCGACATTTTAACTTAAATTTTTAGTCCCATACCGGATAGCGAGTAACAGTTGAACGTACTTAAAAGGAGGAAAGATGGGTACCATTTCAGAAAGCAGATTAACAGGTGAATGCTCTCTTGCTATTACATTGTATTCAAGGGTTAGGTAGGGTGCGTGTAGGCATGTACAGTTAAGTTACGGGTGCGCAGGACAGGGGGACCTGTATTTTTATCCCATAGTAGAGAAAATAGTATCTCCGTCTGAAGCTTTAGTGGCAATTTAAGGAAACGCCCGAGAACAACGTTTCTGGCGAATCTGGAAATGCCAGATCTTGCAGGCGTTATGGAAAAATGCCTCAATTGGCCTTTCCCTTCGCGACCAATTCTAGCATTTTTGGGAAACGCTAATAAAAACATTCAGAGGCATTTTTGCGTCCTACAGAGGCGTTTTAGAATGCCTCGTAATGTCGTCCGTGCTGTAGTGCTTATGGCTGGTTTGGTTTTAATAACTGAACTAAAAGGGGGTATTAGCCATGGATCCGCTGGATTATCTGTGCATCAGGTTTCAGTTCAGAGGACAATTTGAACATGATGAAACAGATCAACAGAGTGGCAGCATGTGAATGGAATACAAGGCCTTTCAACACTCGAGCACCACAAGGTTAGCCTTGAAGAGCTTAAGAAAAAACTTAACATGTGTCTTGTTCAGATAAGCAACTGCAGGAAACCAATTTGCATTGAAAGTTCTATGGGCTGATTAGAGATGGCCAAATCACTAGTGCTCTGGTGACATGATCAACAATCTGTCCTGGAGATGGCCAAACATGTCAAGGCCTCAACGGGATCGCTCCGGGTGCCCACCCCCAAACGTGTCTGTGGTCGACCTCGTGGTGCAGGTCTCCAAGAACACCCTCGACGAGGAGCTGAACCAGGCGTTCCACGACGGCGCGGCCAACGAGCTCAATGCCATCCTCGACGTCGGCCATGAGCCGCTCGTGTCCATTGATTTCAGGTGCTCCGACGTGTCCTCCACCATCAACGCGTCGCTCAGCATGGTCATGGGAGACGACATGGTAAGGTCATTGCATGGTACGACAACGAGTGGGGTTACTCCTAGAGGGTCATCGACCTCGCCGACACCGTCGCCAACCAATGGAAGTAAACGCCGGACAGCGGCATTGCCCTGTGAAGTGACTCCTCTCAAAATTTTCCCCAGCCATCGTCACAGATGATCGATTCTTTGTAATGGGAATTCAAAGTGTCGAGCTCCCAACAGCTTCTTCTTTCTTTTTCTGATTTTATACAACAATGCGTAAATCATTGCAATGCATTATCCCCTTATTATTTCTACACTGGTATGCATAAAGATTAAGTGAGCATGTCAACTTGTCCCAACGCATCAAGCGCTCAATTTTAACCTCATGCAGCCACATACTCCCTCTGTCCGGAAATACTTGTCATAGAAATGAATACAAATGGTGTATCTAGAACTAAAATACATCTAAATACATCCATTCCTCAGATAAGTATTTTCGGACGGAGGGAGTATCTATGAGCTTATCCCAATCCAAAAATGTCAAAATACTCTAAAAATTTACTAAATATTTTCTCCATTAGACAAACACTTCACATAGCTTCAATTCAAAGGAAAGCAAGAGTACTACTAAATTATAGTTCAGAGGATTTGCAAACTAGTACTAATACTAGGTAGTACATCTCTTTTTGTTAATTACGTCCAGAAGCGAACCATAGCAGGCAAAGACCTCCCCAATTCTTCAGTGATATGTGTGCGTTCATCAGCATTCCGTGGATACCTCGATGGGTACTTCATCTCAGGATCCAAGACACCACAGCGCAGACATACCTTCTTCCTGTCATGCAGAGATATCTCTGCCATATTATCCGCATGTTCCATGACACACCTGATGAATCGCACAAAGATGTCGTCAGGTTGGAAGCCATAGATGGTGAGCTTAACCAGATTCTTGTGCTTGAAATCAGGGGGGTGGCTTCCACTCCACGTCTGCCTTTTCACAGAAACCATTGTTCTTCCGGAACTCTTTGTCTCTCATCACCATATTGCACCAATGATCCAAGACTGTGATGCAGAGCTCTTTTAGGGACGGTGCAGCTTCAATAATAAACATTGCCAAGCTAAATCACATCCTTCAGAAAGATTGTCCAGATTCACCTGCTGTAGTTGGCTGAGCACAGGCCTGAGCAGCTTCGAGCTTTCTGGCAGAACCCAAATCTGGGAAAGGAAAAACAATTTACAAACTGAATGCAAGTTGCATATAAATCACATTCTCAACTGGTGGAGAAGACCAACTTAAGCTACTACTGTTACTCCCTCCGTTCCATATTGTGTGTAGCTGATTTATTACAACTTTGTACTAAATCAGCGACACTTAATATGGAACGGAGGGAGTATTACATATAACCATCATATATAGAGTGAGAATGGACAGGTATGATTCAAATGGCTAATTAGTACCTTTTCACTTTGAAAATCCAGATGCAGGTTGCCTATGTAAGGAACATTACCAAGGAGCTGACTTAACTCAAGAGTCCTAGTTGGTCGGGTGCCAATTTTAGCAAGCCTCAGCTTTGAAAGCTGTGGTACAAAACCAAAATACAGGGGACCTTTATGAGAGTTGAACCAGCCCTTATAGCTCACCCGTTGGAGTTTTGGTAGACATGTCAGCTCAACTATCTCAAATTTCCCATACTCGACCTCGAGCTCAGTAAGTTTAGCATGTTCTAGTTGCACCACAGAATTCATCCCCGAGTCGCAATTGGTTAAATGCAAAGACTCCAAGAGCTTGCAAGTGGTGAGGATGTTGGGTATGTCTAGTTCACCAAACCTCATATTGCGCAGCCACAGGCGCTTGAGGCCAGCAAATGCATCCAGACAAGCACTGAAAAAATCATTGAACTGCTTCGCATGATAGAGGAGATCGGCAGGAGAACACTTCTTATGAATTTTCTCTGTTATGATCTCAAACTCAGCTGCACCAACCTTCTGTGTTGCCATGGTGCGGGCGACAGATTTGTCAATTGTGTAACAATCAGGTTGCATCAAGATGAATCTGATTTTGAGTTTGCTAATGGTGATCTCCGGACTCTTTGTGCTCAAGATATTATCCGTTACATGAGCCACAACACTGTTGGTTCTGACATATTCACTGTTGGTTCTAACATTGTGACCTAGAATGGAACTACAACTTAGGAAGAACTGCGAGAGCTTGGTGTAGAGCTTCATCATTCGCTTTGATAGGATGCAGGTCATTATTGCATCGAGCGTGTCCACCCTCTCCAGAATGTTGAGTAGAATGTCATTAGGCAGCTTGCTAAGCCTGTCTCCGACTTCTTCGCTGCCAGCAGCGTCTTTGTTGAGGGTTGCTTTCTGTGTTGCATTTACCTGGAACAACAAATAATCAGTCTTTAGAAGAACCTTTCGTTTGTACTAGTACATAGTACAAATATCAATCAGGCACAACAGAAACAAAACAGAAACAAAACTTACATTGTTTCTGCGGTGACGTCTTTTCTTCATCATGGCTGATCAGATCAACTGGTCTTGTTGAAAAAACTGTTCTTGATGATGAGACGCCTGAACTATTTGGATCGACCTTATTGGATCTGCGACAAGCGGCGGATGCCTGATCTGCCCATATTCGAATCCCCCTACTACTCCTCCTCTGCTTATTTAGGCCGGCGCAACAAAGGAGACTAATCACCGGCAAAAATCAAATCAGGGATGCCAACTTATTCGATCGACGAGGGCCCCTTCCTACTCCTCCGACTCTCTATTTATTAAGGCCAGCTCTAGTCCAGAAGGGAGGAGATATTAAAGGAGAGGGGGGAGGATCCTGATTACAACTCCTTAATAGACCCAGAAAAAATTCCTCCTTTTGGACAGCCCTCGCCGCACAAACAGAAATTTATCTTTTCAGTTTTGCTAAGGCACATCTAGATGTGCCATAAGTATTGCACATCTAAGTCTTATGTCATTGATCTTACATTGTGATTCGTGTGGATATTTTCTTTTTCTTTTTTTCTTTCCTCTTTATGCTTGATTCACTCACTTAGATGTGCAATAACTAGAGCATATCTAGATGTGCCCTAGACCTATCTTTTCTCTTCCCCGATTGCACAATTCCTACAAAAGGGAGGAGATTATTAGAGGAGAGGAAGAGGAGATTATTAGAGGAGAGGAAGAGGATCCTGATTACAACTTCTCAACAGACAGACTCCTTCGGAAAAAAATTACTCCTTTTAGACTGCGCCTGCCGCACGAACAGAAGCAAATTAAGTCCGTCTCCCGCAAGATTATTTCGCCCGAAACGCAGCCAGGCATATTAGCCCAGGCAGTGGAGGTGGCGACGAAGGAGAGCGATGGAGGTCGGCGGCGGATGGCAGGGGTTGCAGTGGGGGCTGTCGCAAGGGATGGTGTGGTGGCTAGCGGCGAACGGCAGGTATTGGATAGGGGGCTGTCGCAGGTGTGGGGTAGGGGACCGCCGCAGGAGATCATGGTGGCCGGAGCCGGACGGGAGGTGTGGGGTAGGGGGCTGTCGCAGGGGATGACGATGGAGGAGAGTCGTGGTGGCCGGAGCAGGACGGGAGGTGTAGGGCAGCGGGCTGTCGCGGGGGATGGCGGCGGCGTAGAGTGGTGGTGGCAGGCGGGAGCGGAGCGGAGCAGGGAAGGGGTAGGTGGTTGCCGCAGGGGAGGGGCGGCGCCTACGGATCCCCACGATCGGCTATCCAGCGAATTAATTTTTTTCTTAGGGGAACCACAGCCAGCGAATTGTCTTTTTTTTTAGCATCAGTACAGACACAAGCGCTCATATACACGCGCATACACTCATCCCTATGAACGCACGCACGCACACCCTACCCCTATGAGCACCTCCGAGAGACTGAGCCGGCATATCATCTTGAGATTTACGAAGTCACCGTAGGCGCCTTGTCTTCGACGGGAACGTCTCCTCCCACGAAAAGCGCATCCCCGGAAATCCTGAAATAAATCCAGGAATAATGCGAGCACCAGGATTTGAACCCTGGTGGGTTGGGGATACCACTGTCCACCTAACCAACTCAACTACAGATTGATTCGCAATTTGTCTTTCTTTAGGGGAACCACATCCAGCGAATTGTTTTCCTTTCTTACGGGGGAAGCACATCCAGCGAAACGAGGTCACGTTGCGCTAAATGGCACAGAGTCCCATTTAAAACCATGTACACATTGAAAATATTTGCATATTTTTAATAACTTTAGACTGTAATCAAATTCAAATGAGTATTTTTAAAATGTTATTCATTTTTTTTTGGTAAAATTAGGTTTTAGCAACACTTAGGGTACCAACCTTTTTAGATGAAAAATTAAGGGGATGGGAAACCCAACACCACAACCGACTCCCAGGATGGGTGCTTAGGGCATCTCCAACGGTAACCCGCAAAAAACCTTACCGCATTAGTCGGATGCGGGAAATAGTAACCATAGCCGCATACATCTGGGCTTTCAGATTTTTCCCCCAGTTGACACGATCAAGTAGCCACATGCAAAGGGCACGAAAGTTCAAATGGCCGCATGCAACACTAGTTTAAACTTAAAAAACTTCAAATATTTTATATCCCAACATTGTTGTCTCCTTTCACCGCCCACTGATGCTAAATCAGGTCCTCCTTGAGCTGCTCGTGAGTTGGTCGATGCCGAATTTGTTGATGCATTTGAATAAACTCCTCAAATGTGGTCGAATTCTCGTCCGGAAGTTGGATAAGACCACTCATGTTCTCAAATTCCAAAGTTGCAGCAGCGTTGTCACCCTCATCCTCGATGATCATGTTGTATATGATCACACAACATGTCATCACCTCCCACAAGGTCTCCGGATCCCATTGTTTTGCAGGTCCACGAACAATTGCAAAATGGGACTGAAGGACTTCAAATGACCTCTCGACATCATTTCTAGCTGCTTCTTGTCTTTGGGCAAAGTGAGACTTTTTCTAGCCAACTAGGTTTGAGATGGTGCTGACAAAGGTAGCCCATGGAGGATACATACCATCAACCAGATAGTAGCTCATGGTGTACTCATGTCCATTGACAGTATAGTGGCAAGGAGGAGCTTTTCCTTCAATCAGCCTCGCAAACAACGACGATCATTGCGGCACATTGATGTCAGTGTGAGACCCGGGCATGCCAAATCCAAAGATCCTATGATGCGACTGCTTCAAGAATGGTGGTGTGATTCTTAACATGACCCTGATATTGCCCTTGTAAAGCCTTCGGCCAGTGTCGTGGAATTGTCACAGCAGATGTCCTAGTGAAAGGACTTAAGCGTGGAGCCATTGCAACTAGGAAGCTTAAAGGGGTTAAAACGGGACAAAGGACATGAGGGTTTATACTGGTTCGGCCCCTTGCGGTGAAGGTAAAGGTCTAATCCAGTTTGAGGTGGTATTGCTTATGTTTCGATTGCTAAGGAGCGAATCCGCTTGACCTAGCTTCCGATCTGTGGTTACTTGTCCTGAACCGTCGTGGGGTCATCCCTTTATATACAGAGGCTGACGCCCAGCGGCTCATAGAGTCCCGGCCGGCTCATAAATAGTGTCCGGCTCGGTCTCTAATTATTCCTACCTTACAATACAAGTTATGTACATATGTCGGTTTATCTCTACGGGCCTTGAGTCACCTTTGGGTTTTGGGCCCTTAACTGAACTGCCATCTTCCAGAGCTGACTTGGGCTTCATGAATCGCCATAGGTGTAACCCGGCCCCTCCTAGGCGGGTCATACCTAATAGTCATATCCCCAACATTAGGCCCCAGATTGATTTGAACTGGTTCATGTCAATCTTCAACACTTATAGGAAATCTTTTGCTCCTTATCGTGCGAAAATTTGTAACCCGCCATGACATCATCTCCAGGATTTGTGATAACTCGCCATGACGTTATCTGCAATTACTTCACACTTTATCTAATATATCTCAACGGATCTTTATCTTAATGATTATCCCGAGAATCGAGGCGTCCTGGTAGTTGGATGACCATATTTTCGGTCTCCTCGTATTTCGCACCTGCACGTTCCCTATTTCCTTATAAATAGGATCCGAAAGCCATCTCCCATTTTTCTCCTTCTTTCTTCTTTCCCTCGCAACCCTTCTACCGCTCGAGCTCCATCACCGCCGCAGAGCACCTCGTCTTCCTCAACCTCGGCCGCTGCATCAACCTGAGTCGATCCAGATAACGGCGGCAATCCTCCATAGCAGATCTGCGGCGGTAAGTTTCTGCCTTCTCCTACCTTAGATCCGCACTAGAGTTTGCGAGCTTCTCTGTGTTCTTCGTAGTTCATCGTAGTTCATCTTCCAGGCTGTACCACGAGCTCCTTTAATATGGAAATGGCGTTAAACCAATGCGGTAGTCGTTTGTTTCCACTTTTGATATCAGTAGATCCCCTTTCCTGGAAGAAAAAACCTTGTGCAAGCTCATGAACTCATTTGTACCGACTTTTAGGTCTAGATTTATTTTCCTTTTCCTGAACAGCCATTGATCCAAAATAATAGTTGCAGCCTGTGAAACTTGTTTATCTCAGTAGTTAGCCAATTTTTCGTTGCTGGCAACTCTTGAATATCTTTAGGTATGGCGGTTTACCATGCCGGCTTATTTTCCCCGTATATACCATTAGCCCTTATTTAAACCGCCATTATACATCTGTACTACAATCATTAGCTTGCAATTCCACCACCTAATTTGAGCCGGCAAATTACTTCCTTTTAGATTGTCTTTTCACCATGCCGCCGAAGACGATGACAACTTGCAACTGGGTCCCTTCCACAGTCATCGAGGATACTCTAAAGGATTTTGTCACTATCGGATACTTACCAGAGAAGAGTGTCATGTCTTACCGCGCCCCTGACCCGGCCGAAGAGAGACCTCAGCCAAAGGATGGTGAGATCATCGTCTTCACTGATCATATGAACCGGGGTTTCTCGCCGCCCGGCTCAAAATTCTTTAGAGACATTCTGCATTTTTTCAAGCTTCATCCACAAGACCTTGGACCCAATTCCATATCAAACATCTGCAATTTCCAAGTTTTCTGCGAGGTTTATCTTCAAGACGAACCTACTGTTGAACTCTTCAGAGAATACTTCTACTTGAACCGCCAGAACGAGTACACCAACGGTCCCAGCTTGGAACTTGGCGGGATTTCGATTCAACGCAGACGGGATGTTGTCTTTCCTCTAGTAGTCTTGACAAGCCATCCCAAGGATTGAAACCAAACCTGGTTCTACTGCAAGGATACGTCGCCGGCTTATGAAAATCCAATGCCGGGTTATCGCGCTGAGCTTCTTAATGCTAAATATTTACTCCCTGACAAACTTTCTGCCGCTGAACGCAAGAAGCTTACCCCAAAAATCAAAACGGTTCAAGCTTGCTAGGAAATGGCTTAACTGGACTTGACTTGATCTGCTGCTGGATCGCATGGCGGATCATCCCTCTGAGCCGCCGATCTGACTTGATGTGCAACTATACCAGAGGAACAGACAATCCATGACATCATAGT